AGCGATAGTACAGAGGGGAGGGTGTCTGCCTTGCATGCGGCCGAACCGAGTTCAATCCCCAGCATCCCATATGGTCCCCAAAGCACTGACAAGAGTAATTCCTAAGTGTAGAGCTAGGAGCAACCCAAAAAGCAAAAATAAATAAATAAATAGAAAAAAAAAATTCTTGGCCCCGCAGGCCCAAGGACATGGTGCAGTTCTAGTCCTGTGCTGCCAGGGCCTACCTCGGTCACCCCAGCAGTGCACAGGGCCCTTCAAGGCTGTGTCCGGCAGGGCTCAGGGCCCCTGTGGGACAGAGGATGCAACATGCAAGGCACGTGCCTTAACCCCTAGATGATCTCTCCAGTCCCTGGGGTTTTGGGTTTTAAGTACTGATTCAATCTATTTCCTTGCAATAGATCCTGTTCAAACTTTCCATTTCTTACTGAATCCTTTCGGTTATGTTTCTTTCCAGGAATTTGTCCATTTGTGCCTCTAATTATTTTCTAATTTCCCTTATGATTTTGCCTTAGACCTGGTTATTTATTAGACCTGGTTAGCTATTTTTTTTTTCTTTTTGGGTCACAACTAGTGATGCTCAGGGGTTACTCCTGGCTCTGCACTCAGGAATCAGTCCTGGTGGTGCTCAGGGGACCATATGGGATGCTGGGAATCGAACCCAGGTTGGCCACGTGCAAGGCAAACGCCCTACCCGCTATGCTATCACTCCAGCCCCAATATCAGTATTTTAAAGGTGTTTAGAATTGTTTCATGACCTAACATAGTCTGTGTCAGAGAACCTTTCCTATACACCTGAGAAGAATGTGTGTTCTCCCTTGTGCTGCTGGGTATTTTTTAATGTCTGTTAGGTCCAGTGGTTTGCAGTGTTTTGAAAATCCTTTGATTACCTTACTGATCTCTGTCTAGATACTCTTTCTATGCCTCAGTCAATGTGAGTTTCTTAATTTTTTTATTCAATGACAAACAATGCAAGTTTTACATTACTGGTTTCTGGACTCTAGGATGTTCCTCACTCCTCTAAATCAGTACTTCTCAACCTTGACTCAAACGTGGCCCCCCTCCTACCCATGTCTTTCCTGTGTTCCGTCTCTCCAACTGGCTAGGCCCCTAGTTTCATATCATGGCCCCCAATTAATGCAACTGTCACCTGTGGAATATCTGGAATATCCTGGGGGCCCGGTAGTGGGCCATATGGCCCCAGGTTGAGAACTGTTGCACTAAATGATGTTGGACTTTGATCTGGTGCAATAAAGTAACTTGGGATCACAGAGAATCTTCTGAGAACACTTCCCACGCCCCATATATCACAAAGATTTTACTCTCTCTGACAGCATTCCCAGCCTTGTGTGAGCTCTGGAAACTATTTCCTTGCTGCTTTCCGGTAATTCTTTCCCTTGCTTTGAGCACAACCTGTCATGTGTCCACATACCACTCATCCACCAAAGACTCAGGAATGCACTACAGATCTCAGCTTGCACCCACCTTAAGCACCACTTTATTCTAATGTACTCCCAAACAAGCTCCGTGCTCTCCGTTATTCTGCCCTACAGCTCTGAGCCCCTCACCTTCCAGAGCCAACTGTGTCCCTTTATCTCAACAAAACTGGGCTCTCTTTTGTTCCTGCTGCCTGTGCTGTAGTCCATGAATAACCTTGAAGCTCTATGATAAACGAATGTGATACAAACTCCCATCCTCGCAGGAATCAGCCTGCTTTCAGTCAACGTGCAAACATCTCTGTCTGGGTACTTGCATCTTCTCAAGTGGTTGAAGGAGAAAGGGTATGTATGCTATTGCTCCATGACAATTACTCTCCAATTTAGTAGCTTAAAAAACTAGCGTTTGGGGCTGGAGCAATAGCACAGCGGATAGGCCTTGCACACGGCCGACCCAGGTTTGATTCCCAGCATCCCATATGGTCCCCTGAGCACCGCCAGGAGTAATTCCTGCGTAACCCCTGAGCATCACCAGGTGCGACCCAAAACCCAAAAAAAAAAAAAAAAAAAAACCAAGTGTTTATCCCCTGGCCCTTCCCAGTTTCTGAGGGCAGCCTGGCTGGGCAGTTCTGGTTCAGGATCTCTCTTGAGGTTGTGGTCAAGATGTCAGTAGGCCAACAGTCTGGAACTGGAAGTTTGACAACAGCTGGAAATTTGCTTCCAGGATGGTTCATCGCACACTGCTCGCTGCAGGCCTTGTTGCCAATTGGCAGGAGGCCTCAGTTTCTCACATGGCCTCTCCGTGGAGCTAGCCACAACATGGCAGCTGAATACTCTCTGAGTAAGCATCCGGATCAGATCAGGGAAAGAAGGTAGAAAGAGGAAAAGGCAAAAGTCTCAGTTATCTTTTAACCCACCCTTGGAAATAATCCATCACTTCTACCAAAGTCAACAGGCCACCAAACAGCATGTGAAAAAAGTAGAGCGGTGTAAATGCCAGGGGGCAGAGAACCCTCAGGGACACCTTGGAAGCTGAACACTCAAGAGGACAAATCCTGTTATGCCAGTACGAAGAAAGTCAGAGTGCTGGACCAAAGGGACACTGGAAGGGATGGAGGAAGGTTTACAGACAGGAGACCGGGGTTCAGTCACCACATAAGGTCTCCTAGGTAGCCCTAGGGGTGACCTCCAAGCACCACCAGGAATAGCCCTTGAGCACCATCATTTGTGACCCCCCCAAAAAAAAAATCACTTACATATTTTAATCTCCTTATGCTTTTTTTTTTATTTTGCTTTTTGGGTCACACCCGGCAATGCTCAGGGGTTACTCCTGGCTCTGCATTCAGGAATTACTCCTGGAAGTGCTCAGGGGACCATATGGGATGCTGGGAACCAAACCCGGGTCAGCCACGTGCAAGGCAAATGCCCTACCCGCTGTGCTATCGCTCCAACCCAAAGTAACAAATTGAAAAATATAAGGAGAGGGCTGGAGCGATAGCACAGTGGGTAGGGCATTTGCCCTGCACGCAGCCAACCCAGTTCGATTCCTCTGCCCCTCTTGGAGAGCCCGGCAAGCTACCGAGAGTATTCTGCCCGCACAGCAGAACCTGGCAAACTCCCTGTGGAGTATTCGATATGCTAAACACAGTAACAACAACTCTCAAAATGGAGACATTACTGGGCCCAGCAATTCGATGAACAACTGGCAGACAGTGCTACTTTGGAGGACCATGCCTTACTATTCTTGAGTTTTTCTAATCTGTCTTCTTTTACTATTTCTCCACTGAAAATATAGTAATCCTGTAGCTTCAAAATGCGGAGATCTACCTTTCTACGCCACAGTCAGACTTAGAGAAAATAATGAGATTAAACAGCAGCAGCTTTTAAGAGGGAAAAAAAAAAAAATTCTGGTGCCCCGGGCAAGAAAGAGAAGAAAACCTGGGGCAGAGTGGGTTAAGCCAAGCCCGAGGGCCTTCCACTGTCAGCCGGCCTCTTTCCTCATTCTGGTCTACACTCTGGCAGCAGCAGCAGAGAGATTAACACAGCAACAGCAGCGGAGTGTGCTAGCCCGATCACCCCTTACAACATTATCCCATGAACTCTGTGTCTGGCTTTGTGATTCTAGCAGGGGAAGTTTTAGACCACACCTAGTTCTCAGGGCTTACTCTTCACTCTGTGCTGAGGGCTCACTCCTGCAGTGCTCAGGAGATGATATGAGGGGTCAGGGAGGGTCCAATGTAAGTGCCTTGCCCCCTGTACTGTCTCAAGCCCTTAAGCCTATATTTCTTGTTGGGGGGCGGGGGGGGGGGGTGATTAGCGGGGAGTGGAGGAGTTGGATTTGTTGTTGTTGCGGGAATTGCTCTGGGCCTACTCAGGGCTCTGCACTCAGGGATCACTCCTAAGGGTTCAGGGGACCAAGTGCGTTCAAACCCAGGCCAGCAGCATGCGAGGCAAGAGCTCTAACTCCACTGTGTATCTCTGGCCCCAGAGTCTGTATTTCTCAATGATCTTTGCCTGAGTTCACACTGCCGAGTCTATCTGAATCCATCTTCGCGTTTTACATCACACTAGCCCCGTTCAGTCCAGCAAGGTTTCCCCATTCCTCTGGAAATAAAATACAGTCTTGCCTGTCCTCCCATTCCACATTCCGCCTGGACTTAGCACTTCCTCTTAGCCTCCACGTTCTCAAAGCGGACCCTCCGTGCTCTCGAAAAGGACCCCAGACTCCCTCCACCTCTGCAAATCTGCTGGACTCTCGTGCTGCCTCTTAGCCTCTGCCAAGTTCTGCTTCACAAGGAGCCCCAAAAGCTTTGCCCCACTTCAGCCACCTATTTTAAAAGAGGGTAACACCGCACACGTACATCCTTCATTCATATTTGTCACCGGTTAATGTCAAAGCGAGCTTCCTTTCCAGGGCAGCTTTGAATCAGCCATCAGAAAGTTCCCAAATATTCAAGTATACCCAACTGCTAACCTAAACTCCACTACCCTAAACTAGGATTTTCATTTGTTATTTAATGAATGATGAATGACAACATACAAAGTAATGATTCTGAATATCTCCACAGAAAATTCTCAAAGGGGCAAAATCCAAAGAATTTTATTTACAAATAAAATATGGACACCAGTGGACACAGAAAAGCAATTCACAAAAAGCAAGACATGAGAATAAGAAATATAGGCAAATAACAAAAATGCAAATTAAAATACCACTTTTTGTCAGACAGATTGGTAAAGACTGAAAATCTGTGAAGGAAGTAACAAAATACTGTCTCATAAATTTCCAGTAAATTTTGTGTTTTCACTATTTGTGCATCAAACTTATCTTTAAAGTTCGTATATCCCTTTGACCAGTATTTCCAATCCTTATAGAGGGCAAAGGAACATAGAGGTGTGTAAAAAGTTAGTAACTGTGGTATTACTTACTTGATAACACAAAATCGGTCTAACAATAAGGGTTTGATTAAATAAATTACAGTACTTCCAAACTATGGATTATTAAATCACAGCAGAATATTATGTTATATAATCCTACATTTTTTAATTAACATTCACATAAAAACATACCTGCACAGAAAAAAATCTAGAAGTATAGACCCCCAAAATGTAAGCAGTGATTATGTCTGCAAAAGAAGTGAAATTATTTATGTTTTCCTTCTTGCTTATCTATGCACCTAGTATTTCTATAATGAGTGTACATGCATACAGCACACAAAAGATAAAAGTAAACATGAGGACCCTAATTAAAAGAAGCATCATTATCCTAACAAAACATGAAACAATGCCTTAATACTGACGCCAGGCAGAATTACTATTAAACGAAATAGCCAACTGACTTACTATCCAGTCCAATAGTCTAGATTTCAACTAGATCTAGGAATACACATAGAAGAATTAATATGATCCAATCAATATTGCAAACCACAGGGGGCGTAGGGGTGAGGGGTGATGGGAGGGATCCTGGGGACACTAGTGCTGGGAAATACACACTGGTGGAGGGATGGGTATTGGAATGCTGTATGAGTGAAATCCAATCATGAACTGTTTTGTAAGGGTCTATCTCACAGTGATTCAAAAAATAAAATAAATAAAATGTTTCCCACAGGGGGAAAATAAGAATACTATTCAGGCTATTTCTTTGGGGGTGAGGCTCCCCAAGCCGTGCTCAGAGACTTGGGGTGAGGAACCCACTCCTTTGGGCTGAAGACGTGGAGCTGGAAGATGTGGAAGTAGCAGGGCTGGTGCTTGAGGGTCTCCAGGGAGGAGCCCGTGGGGGCAGCGTTTCCGCTTGGTTCCTGGTGCATGCTTGTGCCCTGGCACTGAACACTCTCCCAGGTCCCTATTCAGAGCTCTCTGTTTGTTGTTTGGTTTCGTTTCATTTTTGGGGCCACGCACAGTGATGCTCAGGGCTTACTCCTGGCTCACCACTCAGGAATTACTCCTGGCTGGGCTTACTCCTAAGTGGCGGGGACACGGACACGGACACACACACACACACACACACACACACACACACCACCATATGGGATGCCAGGGATTGAACCAGAGTCGTCCGCATGCAAGGCAAACACCCTTCCCACTATACTATTGTTCCAGACCCTATTCAGGCCTTTTAAGAAAGTGAAGATCTCCCAACTAAAAAATGTAGTTTACAATTCTACAGACAGGGTTGGAAAATTAGCCAAATCTCACTGCTTCGTGATGCATGCCAGCTACAACCACCTTTCATGCCAGTTCACTTCTATCTTGAGAGCCTGCACATTAATAGAAAAGCAGTCACCAGAAAGATTAAAAATAAAAAGTGGGGCTGGAAAAATAGCTCAGCAGGCAGAACAAATGCTTTGCAAGCAGGAGGCCTGGGTTCAATTCCAGGTCTGTATGGCCCCCGAGGCACTGAACTCTGTGCCCCCTGAACAGTGCCAGGGGTAACCCAAAGATAAATGACAACAAAAACATAAAAATCACTCAGAAGTTAAAAGGGCTAGAGTGATAGCACAGCAGGTAGGACGTTTGCCTTGCACGCGGCCGACCAGGCTGACCCAAGTTTGATTCCTCTGCCCCTCTCGGAGAGCCCGGCAAGCTATCAAGAGTATCTCGCCCGCAAGGTAAAGCCTGGCAAGCTACCCGTGACGTATTCGATATGCCAAACACAGTAACAAGACTCACAATGGAGACGTTACTGGGCCCACTTGAGCAAATTGATGAACAATGAGAGGACAGTGCTACTGAAGTTAAAAATAAATGCAGGGGTTGGAGCAACAGCACAGAGGGTCCGGCACTTGCCTTGCATGGGACCAACCTGGCTTTAATCTTGGCCTCCTGAGGCTCTGTGGGCCCTGAGTACTACCAGGTGTGGTCCAAAAAACAAAAACAAAAACAAAAAAGAAAAGAAACTTAAAAAGTCACTGCAACTTGTGCCTAGAGAAAGTGTGTTTTCTACAATTTTCACTTTTCCAAATTACATTAACCTTCCCGTTCAGATTTGGAGATGTGGTTGGAAAAACATTATGTGAAAAAACATAAGGCCCATAAGTAAGTAGTCTCTAAATACGTATCTGTCATAGGCAAAGCATGTCTACCTTCAGTGTGTGTGCACTTGGAGTGGAATTGCAGGAAACGGCTGGTGGCTGTGGATGTTACCTAAGAATGGTTGGCTATGCCGGATTCAACATGACCAGTAACATCAGTAGTAAATCCTCATTAGGGTTGATCCATCATTTTACTCACCATAAACCATCATTTTCAATGGTGTTGACTGACATAAAATGAATGATCGTTTCCATCTGTCTACAGCAGAGCACAGACCTAATTATGCTAATTGCACCCATATAATTAATGGCAGGTATCCAGTCAGTCATTTGGTAGAAACTTCATAGCTACGCAGTCTGCAAGGCATGTCTAATAAAGCTCCGCCAATGCATCCAATGGGCTCTGACAACAACTGGTACAGGAAGCACTAATTGCAGGAAGAGCTTTAGGATTTCTTTATTTTCGCCTACATGAGTAGCATCTTTGATGAAAGTACTATATTCTTTTGCACACACACAAAAAAATATTTCTAGGGGCTGGAGCACAATGGGTAGGGCATTTGCCTTGCACACAACCAACCCGGGTTCAATTCCCAGCATCCCATATGGTCCCCCGAGCATCACCAAGAGTGATTCCTGAGTGCAAAGCCAGGAATAACCCCTGTGCAACACCGGGTGTGACTCAAAAGGAAAAAAAAAATTTCTAATGGCCCGAATGCTAGTAGAGTAGATAGGGTGTTTGCGTTGCACATGGCGGACCTATGTTCAGTGCCTGGAACCCCATAAGGTCTCCTACGCCCCGCCAAAAGTGATCCCTGAGCATAGAGACAGGAGTAACCCTGAGACCCACCGGGTGTGGCAAAAAAAGAATTTACTAGTACAAGGAGAAAATCATAGTCCAACTCAGCATTAGAAACAAAGTTTATGTTAATGGTCACATAATACCAGACCAACCATACAATCCTAAGGCTACTGTAAAGAACAGAAATCTCCTTGCTCTGGTGGCAGCTGTGACACCACTCATCTACATTCAGTAAACACATGTGTACACAACAAAACTATTCTAGAACCTGGAAATGGAAGAGTAAAGAAGCAAAGACACTGTCTTCATGGAGCATAGAGTCTAGCGAGGGAAATAACTGCTAAACAAATATATACTTGAATGCGACTGCTAATATCAGGAGGTAAGTAAGGAAAAGAATGGGAAGCCATAAGAGCAAATTCTAGGCCCTCCAGCCAAGAGCACAACACAGGGAAGAAATGAGGGACAGACAGCTATGTTTTTTTTTTTTTTTATTGGTTTTGTTTTGTTTTGTTTTGTTTGCGTTTTGGGTCACACCTGGCAATGCACAGGGGTTACTCCTGGCTTTGCACTCAGGAATTACCCCTGGCAGTGCTCAGGGGACCATATGGGATGCTGGGGATCGAACCCGGGTCAGCCACGTGCAAGCAATGCTGTATGGCTCCAGCCCCAGGCAGTCGTGGTTGTACAAGGGGCCACAGAGGGAATCACTTGCCCAAGCTTTGACGAAAGCATTTAAATTATATCCTGGGCTCAGGTTAAGTTTAAGATGTATCAGGACACTCAAATGAAGTCACTGAGTCAGGTGACTCAGTGTATCTGACCGAGAGTCCAGGAGAGTCTAAACCAGAGAGATACCAAAGAGCGAACAATGGCCTCGAGGAGGTCTGTGATGCAAAGCAAGCTGAGGTTTCCTAGGCTAGGGGAGCGGGGAGGGCTGGGGGGAACACGTTACTTCCTCAAATCACATACTGAAAAAATGAAATTAATTACATCTTTCATGATTTGCAATCAAAAGAAAGAAAATTATTTGTAGTATTTTAATTATGATATGATGCCATTTTTGTCGTGGAAAGGTAAGGTGACGCATATAAGGTTCTTGGAGAAATGCCAAGAATTCAGAGAAATATTTCTGGGTCAGAGCAATAGTACAGAGAGTTAAGGGGACTTGCCTCACATGCAGCTGACCCGGGATAGATCCCTGGCATCCCTTATGATCCCAGAGCACAGCCAGGGATAATCCCTGAGTGCAGAGCCAGAAAGAACCCCTGAGCTTTGCCAGGTGTGACACAAAAACAAACAAACAAAAAAAAAAAAAAAATTTCATTATGTCTAAGGCATTACATGCTATAGTTTATTTAGAAGAACACTTCCTTTAAGATTTTTCCTGTGCCCTAGAACTTTTTTTTAACACTGATATGACTACTTCACAAGAAAATGTCACTAGAAAAGCTTTTAGTCTGCAGAGCTGCCACCTACAAGCTGTATCATAACTGCAAACATTCTGAATACATCAGTAAGTCCTTGATGTACTGCCTGTAAAAAGTATTTTAAAAATAAAAAAGACAGGGGCCAGAGAGATAGTGTAGCGGGTAATGCACTTGATTTCCATGTGGCCAACCCAGGTTTAATCCCCAGCATCCCATTTGGTCCCTCAAGCACCACCAGAAGTAATTCCTGAGTACAGGAGGAACCCCTGAGCATCACTTGGTATGGTCCAAAAACAAAAAAGACAAATCTGCTCTGCAAACTCAGAAGTTATCAATTTTCAGGAATATCACTATAATCCTAAAACAACCTGCCTGTACAATCTCTGCTTTGATAAGCATGTAGCATACATCAGCTCTATAAAGTGGAGGTCAGATTACTGTTATACAAAGCACTGAACAATAATTCATAACTCAAGCACCACATAAGTATGATAGGCCTTAATATAAACTCACCTGATTTATTTGAAGCATGTTAAGACAATATTGACTGCTATATCCCTCAGGGCTCCAAAAACTAGAAAATGAAAATGGAGAAACAAAGCTTAATTTAGTTGATGATCTCAAAGAACAGCACTTTAAACAGATACAGGGCTGGAGCAGTAGCACAGCGGGTAAGACATTTGCCTTGCATGCGGCCGACCCGGGTTCAATTCCCAGCATCCCATATGGTCCCCTGAGCACCGCCAGGAGTAATTCCTGAGTGCAGAGCCAGGAGTAACCCCTGAGCATCGCTGGGTGTGACCCAAAAAGCAAAAAATAAAAATTAAAAAAATTAAATAAACAGACATAGATCCAGGAGCCAGAATAATAGAACAGCGGGTAGGGTGCCTGTCTTGAATACAGCCAACCCAGATTCAGTCCCAGACATCCCATATGGTCCCTCAAACTAGGAGTGATCTGAGTGCAGAGCGAAGAGTAAACCCTGAGCAACGCCAGGTGTGACCCAAAAAGCAAAAAAGAAAAACAATTTCAGTATCAAATTTAAATAACTGCTTGTGCCTAGCAGTTAAATAGAGAAGACCTAGACTGAGTCTCTTTGTGTTCTAGAGTTCTAAGACTTTCCAGCAAACCCTGAGGGATATATTTTAAAAAATGTAAATGCTTCAAATTAAAATTTAATACATATTTCCCTTGCTCTAGAAAGGTTTTAAGCAGCTGGTTTTGACTCCGTTCCCCATTTTAAAAAATCAAGCCTAGGGAGCTGGAGCGATAGCACAGCGGCTAGAGCATTTGCCTTGCACAAGGGCAACCCAGGTTCGATTCCCAGCATCCCATATGGTCCCCTGAGCACTGCCAGGAGTACTTCCTGAGTGCAAAGCCAGGAGTAACTCCTGTGCATTGCTGAGCGTGACCCAAAAAGTCAAAAAAAAAAAAAATTCAAGCCTATAGCAGCCCAAAAGATAGTACAGCAGATTAAGTTGCTTGGCTTGGACACAGCCATCTCAGATTCAATCCACAGCACCCCAGGTGGTCACCCGAGCACCAACAGGAGTGATCCCTGAGTGCAGAGCTAAGAGTAACCCGTGAGCATTGCCTGGTGTGGTCCCAAAACCATAAAAAAAAAAAATCAAGCCTGAAGATGATGTAACATGCCAGTATTCTTCCGTGGCAAAGCAGAGTTCACAGTAAGAACACAGGATGGATGATCTAGTTGCATTTTTGCAGTACTGGGATCAAACTTAGGGTTTCGCGTGTACAGTATTGGGCTGACCACTGAACCACAGTCCCAACTCCCTACATAACTGGATTTTCTTTTCTTAGTTTGTGGTTTTATCATCCTCATTATAAAAGTTCCTCTGCCGGTTCCTTCATGCGGAACACAGGCATGCGGGTCCCGGGGCTGAGATCTCCAAGCCTGCTCGGATCTCGGATCGGGGCTGAGCATCCTCCACCCAGATCCCCCATCTTCCAGTAGGCGGGGGTCACACCCACCAACTGCCCCCAGCACCAGGTAATCCCATCAACGGCCAAGACCCAGAGATTATAAAACTCAGCTCCTGGAAGCGCACATCGGCATTTGTGGACGCGCAACATCTTATCTCGTTCTTACTTCGGAGAGCCCGGCAAGCTACAGAGAGTATTCGATATGCCAGACACAGTAACAACAATGTCTCCAATGGAGATGTTACTGGGCCCGCTCGAGCAAATCGACTTTGGACAAACTGGCAGGCTACTGAACGTAACCTGCCCACACGGCAGAGTCTGGCAAACTCCCCGTGGCATACCCAATATGCCAAATACCAGTAACAATGATGGGGCTCATTCTCCTAATCCTGAAAGAGCCTTGAATATGGCACTTTTTAAAATCTCTGGGCTAGGATGAAAGAGACTGGGGCCTGCTCGAGGCAATCGACAACAGGATGATCGTGCTCGTGATTATAAAAGTAGCAGGCCAGGGCTCAGGTGAGGTTCAAGTAGCAGAGCACAGCCCCCTTGCATATGGACTCCTTACAATCCATCACCTGAGGTTCACAGGCCTCTGAACACAGCCAGGTGGGGTTCTGGTGGCACCCAAGTACCTCCTATGACAAAAAAAAAAAAAGGAAAACACCGCAAACTCATTACTACTTAGAATATTGCAAAAAACAAATGTTTACTATCCTGAGTCAGAGAGATATCTAGGGATTAAGGTGTTTGCCTTTGGTCCCCGGCACTGGGTGTAGCCCCACTCAAAAATACATATATATATTCACTATCTTAATACAAGTCTTTGTTTTATTTAGGCTCGTCTTCCTCTGTTCCTGACCTTTGGCCCCCAACTGTATTTCTTCTCATGTTGTGAATCTCCTATACTTAAGTATAGATACATGTCCATGCGCACATAACATATAGGTACGTATACATGTGAAGTCTATATAGAGTTCTATAACATATAAACACAGAGGACCTTCTGTACACATTCAATTACTATTTTTCAACATGACAAAATGAGGTCACTTAAAGATGGCAAAATATGGATCATCTAGTAAGCCCTGAGCATCACCGGGTGTAGTCAAAAAAAAAAAAAAGATGGCAAAGATTGTTTTGACATTTATTTGGAGGTGGGGGGGGGACACTGGGTCACACGCAATGGTGCTCAGGGCATACTCCTGGCTCTGTGCTCTGGGATTACTCCAGACTGCTTATTTTTGGCTCTGATGTAGGGCTGTATGTGTTGTCCAGGTTAAAGCCAGGGTCAGTCGCATGCAAGGCAAGTGCCTTAAGCCTTACGCTCAGTGTGCACGTGCGCTCGCTCGCGCTCTTTTTCTCTCTCTCTCTCTCTCATTGTTCTCGCACTTTCTCGCACTTTCTCTCTCTCTCTCTCTCTCTCTCTCTCTCTCTCTCCTCTCCCTCCCATTCCCCCACCCCCACCCCAGAAAAGGTCTGATTTTTTTTTGGCTCTGAGGCCACTTCTGGAAGAACTCAGGACTTACTCCAGGCTTTGTGCTCTGGAATCAGACCTGGCAGGACCTGGTCCATATGGGTTGTGGGGACTTAACTCAGGCTGGCAACACTCAAGGCAAGCACCTTACCCGCTGTGCTACTGCTCCAACCCCTCCGCAAAGTTTCTAATGTATTTCTTCCGATAGTGACATCAGCATCTGTACCGCTTTCCTATTTCCCGGGAGACCTGTCATGTTACAGAAATAGCACAAGGCCTGGGTACCAATGAACTTGAATTCAGTTCAAGCTCCTTAAATTGCACATTGAGTCCTGTAAACTACTTTATGTATCTAGGGTTCTCTCCCTTTTCTTCGTTTATTTGTTAATATAAGCCTTCCTTCATGAAACTAGGAGAACAAAGGTCACTCCCTGTAAGCTGAGGCCCATTGATATAGGCCCAAGGGTTTGGTGCTCAGGCCAGGAGTTCTCCGGAGTCACCAAGTCTACATTCACAGGAAGTTGAGGGAGGTGGCAGGCATGCAAGGTCTGGGATCAGACTCATGCCATCGAGAATGTAAGACATGAGCCCCAACCCCTGTGAGCTGTCTCTCCAAATCTAATAACTCTTACCTTTAAAAAGGAAAGCCTCGGGGCTGGAGCTATACTACGGTGAGTAGGTATTTGCTCTGCACAAGGCTGTCCTAGGTTCGATCCCTAGCATCCCAAATGTCCTCCAATCACCTCACATGGTACCCCAAGCACAACCAGGAGTACTTCCTTAGTGTAAAGTCAGGAGTAACCCCTGAACATGGCCAAGTGTGATCCAAAAACAAACAACAGCAACAAAATCCACGTTAAGTCTCTGTGGTAGTCTGCCTAACAATATACACTACAACTTTTCAAAATATATTGAAGAAACGATGATACGCTGTAAAGAGACTGCACCCACTTTCCCGCTTTCACTTACTTGCTGTAAGGGAAACCAGCTGTCTTATCATGACTTGCCCTTTGGACAGACCCACAGGGCAAAGACCTGTGGGAGGCCCCCAGACTATACAGCCCGAAAGAAACAGTGACCTGGGGCTAAAGCAATAAATAGCACAGCGGGTAGGGCCTTGGACAAAGCAGACCCAGGTTCGATTCCCAGCATCCCATATGGTACCCAGAGCACCACCAGGAGTAATTCCTGAGTGCGGAGGCAGGAGTAAACCCCTGTGCACCGCTGGGTGTGACCCAAAAAGGAAAAAAAAAAATCCTGTGACCTTCAGTCTAAGAATTCCCCCAAGGACTGTCAGGCCCAGGGCCCTGGGAACGAGCATGGAAGTGGATCTTCCCCCGCTTAAGCTTTCAGATGCAACTAAATCCCAAACGGTAGTCTAACATCAACCTCCTCGGAGACCCGAGCCATAAACTATCAGCTTAGATGCTCCCAGATTTTCAACCCACAGAAACTTTAATAGGACAACATTTGTTGTTTTAGGGCTTTTAAATTCTGGGATCATTTGTTATGCATCAATAAATAAGACAACCCTGTTCATCTCGAAATTCGATTATCCCATGCTTCTTTAGATAATGACATTCATAGAGGACAAAAAATATTAACCCCCACCCCTTTCAACTACAGCAAATGAGTATAACTAACATTTGAAAGTGGTCAATTATGGAAAGAATGTTTATGTCTTATTCCAAAGCTGAAGCTCTCAAAAGGAGAGCTCTTCAAAGGGCTAGTGAAACTGTGCACGCTGGAGACGGGGGTTCAATCCCCAGCCCCACATGGTTCCCAGCACTCTCCCAGCACCAACCTGGGAGCAGCCAGCCCCCAAGCACTGGTAGGCATGCCACCCCCCCAAAAATGAAACACAGAGCCACAAAGCAATTCAGTGACTCAGCATCTTTTGTACTTAAGCCTCTGCAAGTAGATGTTTATTAACCTGTTAGTGCTTCTTCAGCTTGAGAGGTTGGTAACACAGGTGCCTGGTTCCAGGAAGAAACAAAGATATATGAACTAAAATCAAGTTCTCTGGTACCCAGGCCTTGTGCTACTTCTGTAATATGACAGGTTTCGGGAGAAATAGAAAAGCGGTATAGATGCTGTTTTTTTGTTTTGTTTTGTTTTGTTTTGTTTTTTGTTTGCAGGAAGGGAATAAACTT